TTCTTTTTTTTTTTTTTTTTTTTTTTTTTTTTTTTGGACCGCCGGAACTTTTGCGACTTTCTGTGACCTCAGGCTTCTGATACCACGTCCCACTTCAGTGCCTTGCTGGTGATGGGCAACAGCGCGCACGCGCAGTGCTTCGCCCACGCACCCAGGTCCCTTACTGGGGTTTGTGTCCCACAGGGTCCTTCAAGCCCCAGATGCCACCTCCCTCGCCTTGAATCCCCTCCATCCCTCACCCACCGCATGCGGGTCGGTTTCCATCTAGGTCCTCAGACTTGGTGACAAGCCCCTTTACCCGCTGAGTCCTCCCCAGGCCACTCTCTTCCCTCACAGGTTTAACCTCAGGCTGGGGTGGGCAGATCTCGTGAGTTCAAGGCTAGCCTGGGCTACACTGTGAGCTGCTGTCGATGCAGATGTGTACTCAGGGCCGCTGGGGGTGACAGGTGACCCTGGTTCTGTTCCCAGTGCACTCACACTGAGCTGCCTAAATCACTCCCTCTCACCCCCAACTTTTCCCCCCACCCTGTACGAGGCCCCGCCCAGCTCTCTCAGGATCACCTCTCTCTGTGTCCTCTGAGCTGTGTCTGCCTCACCTCTGTGAGACCCCACATCATCCCCTGCTGCCCCAACCCTTGGCTGCACCGGCCAACTCCCACATTCAGGCAGCTGCTGTAGGGACTGAGACTGAACCAGGTCATGTCCCTCTGTGGTTTGTCTGTGGTCTGCCCTGACACCTGAATGGCCTTCATTGAACTCCTGTGCATCCTTCAAAGCCTCAGCCTCGGTGTCCCAGTCCCATTTACTAGGTCGCTGTCTTCTCTCTGTGGGACCCTGGATGTCAGGGTCTTCTCCAGGATTAAGGTGTCTCAGGCCAGAAGGGCACCCACACACAGAGTTGTTGATGAGATGAGGAAAAATATTTATTTATTTATTTCTGAGAAAGAGGCTTCAGTTTGTAGTCCAGGCTGTCTTGGAACTCATCGTGTAAACCAGGCTCACCTTGAACTCATGGAGATCCCTTTGCCCCTGCCTCCCTAGTGCTAGGATTAAAGACACGTGCAACCATGCACTCCTGGCATGTTTGAGTTTTTAACAGGAGTTTGGGTGGCTTGGCAAAATCTGAAGATCTCATTCATGTTAACAGAGGTCTAGCCTAGGCGTTGATAGAGGTCTAGCCTGGGCGATGATAGAGGTCTAGCCTGGGCATTGGTAGAGGTCTCGCCTGGGTGTTGATAGAGGTCTAGCCTAGGTGTTGATAGAGGTGTAGCCTGGGCAGGAGGAATCTTACCTGACTTTGACTGAAGCTGCTCAAACTTCAGGAAAAGCCTGAGAGCCCTATGTGTATCCACTAGGCGAATGAATGAATGAACTAATGACGCATTTCAAACCCACGGGAGTCATAGGGCAGGGTCTGGCTGCTGTGCAGGGACCTGTTCGTTAAGATCAGCTGAATGGCAGCTAACAAAACCTCCCTGTGCAAATCAATAGCAGTAGCAGGCTACATTCCTGAGGGCTCTGGCACTTTTCCTGGGGTCCATCTTGTTTGACTTGGAGGTTCAGAGAGGTCAAACCACTGTGTCAAAATCACACAGCAGAACCCATGGCACAGAGCCAGAGGCCGGCCTGGTCCAGGCAGTAGCGGTGGGTTTGCTTGAAGCCTACAGTCTCAAGGACACTTGTTATCCCACACATTGTTCCAGGTTCTGTGGAGGAGTTCCAAGACCGCCTGGCTCAGCACGGATACCTATACCGAGGTAAGTGCTGAGTTTCAGCAGTCATTCAACAAAGACTTGTTGCTGGAAATGCTTTGTGTGCAGTGACACAGGGGTGGGGGTGGTGGGGGGTTGTAGGCTGAGCCCTGCGGCCTGGGAGGAAAGCCAGGCCTGGTGACACCTGTCAACCCCGCACTCAGGACGCTAGGGCAGGCGGTGGCAGCTCAAGGCCATCCTCAGCTTCACAGCCAGTTTGAGGCCAGCCTGAGCTACACGACTCTGTGTCAGTGGGGAATAAAGTTTCCTGAAATCGAGACCATGTGAGCTGGGGTTCCGACGGATTTGTAAGAGTTTACCACAAACATCAAATGCTTTCTGCCTTGGCCTCTCGCCCACCTCATGCTGGGCGGGGCCAGGGCCCGGAAGTGCCAGGGGCCAGAAGGGTCAATGAGGAATACCTGGGTCATGGATCATTCAAAATGGGTCTTGAGGGAAGGTGGGAGGTTGCCAAGGGAGACAGCTGGGGACAAGGCTCCGTGAGGACCTGGTCTGGGTTCGAGTCCAACAAAAATCAATACTGGTAGGGGAGGGCGAGGAGGACTGAGCGTTCTTGTCTGTCCACCCTGGATCCACAGCTCCCATGATCTTGCTCTAGGCCTCCCGACGCCATGCGGATGCCCCGGCCTCGCCCCGGCGTGATCCTCGTCCTGGCCATGGCTGCCATCTCCCTGCTGCTCCTGTCTCACGTGTCGCCGCCCGGCTGCCCCGCCCTGGAGAGGCCCGCGGAGCCCCAGGAGGTCGCCACGTGGCCCCCGAACCCTCCGCGCGCGGCCTCCGCCCCGTGCCTGGCCAACCTGTCGGTGGCCGAGCACCCGGACTTCAGTGAGCTGCCCACGCACGTGCGCGACTTCCTGCTGTACCGACACTGCCGCGACTTCCCGCTGCTGCGGGAGCCGCCGGCCGCCAAGTGCGCAGGGCCCGTATTCCTGCTGCTCGCCATCAAGTCGTCGCCGGCCAACTATGGTCGCCGCCAGGTGCTGCGCCGCACGTGGGCGCAGGAGCGGCAGGTGCACGGAGCGCCGCTGCGCCGCCTCTTCCTAGTGGGCAGCGACCGCGACCCGCGAGAGGCGCGTAAATTCAGCCGGCTGCTGGAGCTGGAGGCGCGGGCATACGGCGACATCGTGCAGTGGGACTTCCACGACTCCTTCTTCAACCTCACGCTTAAGCAGGTGGGCGAGGGAAGTGGGGTTCTGCAGTATGCGTGAGAGGCCCACGCAGGGAAGGGGGCCCGAGGAACCCCGCCAGCCCGCGTGTCCCCCACTCCACCCGCAGGTCCTCTTCCTGGAGTGGCAGCGGACTCGCTGCCCCGACGCCAGCTTCGTGCTCAACGGGGACGACGACGTCTTTGCGAACACAGACAACATGGTCACCTACCTGCAGGGCCAAGACCCGGACCGCCACCTCTTCGTGGGCCACCTGATCCAGAACGTGGGCCCTATCCGCTCGCCCTGGAGCAAGTACTTCGTGCCCAAGCTGGTGACTCCGGATGAGAGCTACCCGCCCTACTGCGGCGGCGGCGGCTTCCTGCTGTCGCGCTTCACGGCGGCCTCGCTGTTTCGCGCAGCGCGCGACCTCCCGATCTTCCCCATCGACGATGTGTTCCTGGGCATGTGTCTGCAGCAGCAGGGCCTGGAGCCCGCTTCGCACGACGGGGTGCGCACGGCAGGGGTGCGCGCCCCCAGTCCCCGCCTGTCCTCCTTCGACCCCTGCTTCTACCGGGGGCTGCTCCTCGTGCACCGCTTCCTGCCCTTCGAGACGCTGCTGATGTGGGACGCTCTGAGCCAGCCCCAGCTCTCCTGCGGCAAGCAGAGCGCGGTCTCCTGAGACGCTGGGGTGGTCAGCACCCTCCCCCCTCGCCCCGGTTCCTGTCCCCACCCTCGTGCGGTGTCAGGGCAGGTTTGAGGAGCCGGCATAAGCTTCAAAACCCTCTCGGTACTGTTCACGGTGGCAGGCTCGGGGTTGAACAAGCGTGAGCGAAGGAGAATTGCTGCGGGCCATGGCCCCAGCTCGGAGCTCCCGGTGGCAGGCTCCGGCCTTGCCCTGAGCCTCTGCCTCCGCAGGTCCCCAAGGAAGTGAGGCGGGGGAGCGAGGAGGATCTTAACTTGGCCCCAGTGGTGTCCCCCAAGGACTCAGGGAACAGTGTAGGGATAAGAGGGGTCCTGTGTCCCACAGACGGGTGGCGGGAAATAAAGTCTGTGGAAGGCTGAAGGCGATGGCTTACAGTGCTGGGGACAGAACACCGGGCTTGACCCCTTTTTGTTTTATCGATTTAGAATTATTCTTTCATTGGGTATGCCACACCGTGGGTAGACAAAGGGTCCACCCCTGGGTCTTGAACTCAGATCTTCAGGCTTGGTGGCAAGCGCCTCTACTCAGAGTCCTCTCGCCAGTGCCGGCTTTAATCTTGTTTCCAGCACTATTCACGTTCTAATGCTGTCTGCTATACTCAGCTCTTTTACCTTGAATATTAACTTACAAAATCGAGCGTCCATTGTGACATCTTCACTTCTCAAGTCCCCCTTTGGTCCCCATCCATTCCTTTGTTTTGTTTTGTTTTTCTCCAAAGGTGGGGGCCCCCCGTGTGACGTTGTTGCTGCAACAGTGGGGGTCCTAGTCAGGGAGAACTCCGCACAGGGGGCGGGGGGCGGGGTTGGGCGGGGCAAACCCGCCTAACTTCCCCAAGCAGCGAGCCTGTTTCCCCAGTGTGTCCTGGTGTCACCTCAGGTCTTCGTGTGACTGGAGCACAGCCACAGCCCGCCGCTGCCCCCCACCCCCGTGTGGCTTTTCCCAGACAAAATTGTGAAGTTGCTTTTTTATTTAGATCGTCGGGGACACAAGGGGTAGGGGGAATGACACAAGGCATGTGGGAGGCTCCTCCAGGGGCAGGACGTGTGACCCTCCCTCCTTTTTTGGGATCTAAGAATAACTGGGACTCCTCCGAGGCAAACCCGGGCTGTTGCATTCACAAGGGTCCTGGAGGTATAGAGCATCCTGACGGGGGGGGTGGGTTGGGGGAGGAGCGATCAAGGACCCATCGCCTGAGTCCAGGACCCCCCTCAGGTGGGACAGAGGCGCCTCAGATCTTGCTGAGTGCAGCCAGTGAGACAGCAGCGGTGTGCAGGGTTCATGGCAGAACTGCGGCGGTGGCGCTGAGGAGCCTGGGGAGGAAGCTGCGGGCCAGGGTCCAGCGCAGGGTCCAGCGTGTCAGCCGCAAGCGCATGCAGGAGCTGCCGCTGCTCCAGCCACCGTAGCAACTCCCCTGCAGGCCGAGCAGGAGTCAGTTTAAGTCACTCCAGACACCCAGCACGCGTTTATTATGTGTCCAGTGACAAGGGAGCGCATACAGAGCGCCTGCGGAATACTGCCGTATTCTCTCAGCTGCTACCCACACTCACCTCCCAACTGTGTGTGTCCCCATAAACCTCCTGTGAGCCTCAGTTTCTGGGCCTGGAAGGCTGGGGTCCCTAGAGATGCTCTCAGGACTGAGATCCCCCGTTGCTCATTGGGGAGTACCCTCAGCGTCAGGAAGGAGCCACTGAGAGCTATGGACAGGGTGTTCCTCCTCTAGGGCTGGAGAAAGAGTCCTCCCCAATCTCCCAGGGAGGGCCATAAGCCAGTAATTCTGGCACTGGGAATGCCAAGGCAAGAAGATTCCTGTAAGTTCAAGGTCACTTTATGTTGTGTAGTGAGAAGGTGTCTTTAAAAAGCAATTAGTCAACCAGGCAGTGGTGGCATGCGCCATTAATCCCAGCACTTGGGAGGCAAAGGCAGGCAAATCTCTGTGAGTTCGAGGCCAGCCTGGTCTACAAGAGCTTGTTCCAGGACAGGCTCCAAAGCCACAGAGTAACCCTGTCTCAAAAAAAAAAAAAAAAAAAAAAAAAAAAAAAAAAAAAAGCAATTAGTCATGTGGTGACGACTTATGCCATTCACCCAAGCAGGCAAGCCTAAGGTGAGGGGTTCAAGGTCATCCTCGAGTAAGTCGTGAGTTTGAATCCAGCCTGGGCTACATGAGACCCCGTCCCAAAAACTCCAAAAATGGAAAAGTTAAATTAAAAAAAAATGAATGAACTCCAGTCCCCTGTTATGGGGGCGACACCGTGAGGGATCTGCCCCTCCCAGTTATCTGTGCTTGTCGGCCCCGCCCCGCCCGGACCCCCACTCACGGTCGCGGGCGTCCACTGGCTGGGTAACTTCGGGGGACCAGAGCGGGCTCCCGCACACCCGCACCAGTGCGCGCACCAGGTGGTGGCCGCAGAGTTTGGCGCGCGTCTCCTGGGGCTGCTGCGGGGCTTGCAGGGCGAGCTCCAGAGCCGGAAACAGCAGCAGCAGCAGCAACAGCAGCAGCGTCAGCGTGTGCATGATGGCGGGAGGCGGCTCGCGTGGACACCCCTTATAGTGGCTTCGCGCCGCCCACGGACCTTGGTGGGAACACCGCGTACAGCACGGAGAAGGTCGAGGCTCTCATTTCATGGCCAAAGGCCGTGGGTCCAGCCAGGGACCCTGAAGTCCCTCTCCCAAGCGCCAGGACCTCCCATCATTTTTAAACAAGCCAATGCCCCTCTTGCTGTAAGAGTAGCGTCCACGTATCTTGCTGGCACTGGGAAAGCTGAAGCAGGAGAATTACTATGAATTAGAAGAAGTTTGGGCTGTGAAGGAGATGCGAGGGAGTATTTATGATTTGCACCCCCTCCCCTGTTCCCCTACCTCGGGAGCTCTTGTGGGGGACTGTGGGCACCGTTCTGAGGTGCCGCAGTTCTGGCTCCACCCTTCTTGGGCCTTGGCCTCTGCCGGTCCCTTGCCAGAACCAGTCAGCCAAGGACCGCAGCTGGGCAGGAGGGGGGGTGGTGTCCTTGAGTCTAGCCAAGGCCTCTCCTCCAGCTGTTCTTCCTCTCAGAACCCCACAGTTGGCCCCCAAGTCTAAACCACACGCCATAACTCAGCTCTCCAACACCCCTAATTCCAGTCATAAACCATTTTTTTCTACTGAATTCATTTATTCATTCATCAAACTGTCCCGGAGCCCAACCTGTGAGGAGTCGCACTGAGCCCACAGGGCAGGGGAGATGGATACAGGCACTTTCTACAGACCCTGACCGGGAGGAAGGGGCGGGTGAGTTCCTGGACCAGGTGGAGCAGTACTAGGATCTGGAGTTCTGTAGGAGGCGGCTGTGCCAGGAAAGTATTTCCAGAGGTGACAATTGCGCAGATCCCGGGGTCACATAATTTAACATCTGTATTCTGAAAGGAAAGGTTGGAAGGGGGGGGGGGAGCAGGGATGAGCAACCTGTAAAGGGTGGAACCCTGCTGAGGTCGGACAACCCGCCCATGGGAAACCGGCGCTCACCCTGGCTGCTACCCGGGGTTTCCACGCCACAGCGCGTCCAGCTGCGGACTCAGGGTGCTGAAGGTCGGTCGGTCCTGCGGGCGGGGCGCCCAGCACAGCTGCATGAGCTCCTGAACCTGAGGGCGCAGAGGGAGGTAAGTGGGACCAGAGCTGATGACCCACAACTCTCCACAGCTCCCTGTGGATCTCGGGACAGAAAGTAAGTCTGAAGACAGGGTCTCAGTAACCTTGACTGGCCTCAGACTCGTGGCAATCCTCCTGCCTCAGCTCCAGACTGCTGGGGTGACAGGCATGGCCACAGCTTGCCCATTTGCTTCTGTCTACCACGTAAAGGCACCACGCCCACCTTATGGCCTGGTCTCTGACGGGGAATGACTTCTTCCACCTTCTTCAACGGCACGGTTTACGCTTGGGAGAGGCCTGACAAACCCTTGAATCATCTTTTAAGGCGCCTTAGAACACTGTAGCTCAGTAGTGGGGCGCTTGCCTAGAGCATGTGAGGCCCTGGCTTCAATTTTCAGCATTGCAAAAAAGTAAATAATAAAAGAAAAAAAAATATGGATTTGGGAGGGGTCGTAGTGGTGCACGTATTTGTTTTCTCCGTATAGGGGATACTGAGGCAGGGAGATGTCGTCGATTTCCGGGCCGCAGAGGCTGCACAGCAAGATCTTGTCTCAACCAAGGTAAAACAAAAGCCTCGGCACAGAGCCTCCCTCATCCTGTTAAGCAGGGGCATTCCCATTCTGCATATGGGTAAACCAAGGATCTTCAAAGCACCTGTCACTAGCCACACAGGGATGGTGAGGCCAACTTGGGGCCAGGACCCCCGCTGTTAATCAAGAATGGATACTGGGGTCAGGCAGTAGTGGTGCATGCTTTTAATCCCAGCACTCGGGAGGCAGAGGCAGCGGATCTCTGCAAGTTCGAGGCCAGCCTGGACTACAGAGCAAGTTCCAGAACAGTCAAGGCTGTTACACTGTTACACAGAGAAACCCTGTCTTGAAAAATATAAAAGGAAGGAAGGAAGGAAGGAAGGAAGGAAGGAAGGAAGGAAGGAAACTGGGAAACCGAGCCTGCCTCCCTCACCTCAGTGGGGCACGCAGGAGGCCTTGGGAGGCGCCGGCCCTCTGCCAGCAGCTCCAGAAGTCTGCAGAGCGCAAGCCCATCACGCTCTGGCCCCATCATGCGCAAGAACTCCTGTAGGAAGGAGGGCTGGGGGTCAGGAGGAGGGGCTGGGGGTCAGGAGGGAGGGCTGGGAGTCAGGGGG